CCATGCCGCCCACCTACGCCCCCCCAATGCCGCCCTATCACGTGTACCCGCCGCCCACCGCCCCGCCACCGGCCCATCCTCCGCCCACAGGCTACCCGCCGCCGGCCATGCCTCCCAACTACCCGCCGCCGGGCTACACCAGCTTCCCTCCGCCGCCGCACATGCCGCCGACGCACGTGCCCCCGCCCATCGGCCTCCCCCCTGCCGGGTACCCACCTCCACCCGTGCCGCAAGGTCAGTCGCAGGTTCCCCTGCCCCCGCCCCCTGGCATGCCCATGAATCGCGGCGGCTGGATGAGATGAGATGAGCGTCACTGAATAGACCCTGAAAGTGAGTCGTATTATTTTCTTCTTGCCGGAGTCGTACTTTGGTTTGGTGGGTTCACTTCCACGGTGTGTAGTAAGTAGTCTTGTCGTCTCGTCAGGGTTTTTGCGGAACAGGTGAACGTTTCCACCGTCATGTGCCTTAAAGGCGCCTTTCTGCTTCCCCTTCTCACCTTTGGATTTGTGTCAAATTGGCACTCGGGAAAAAAATAAATGGCTTTTTTTGTTGTTTTTTGTTCAGTTTGCTTCCGTTATTGTGTCGTGAGTGAACTGTTGCTGCCGTTTGTTGGTAGGAACAGTTTTCCTAGCACATCAGGTTTTTGAGAGATTTGGATTTGTTGTCGATAAAGTTTGACCTCTAAAAGCCTGCATAAGACAGATTTTTGCCATGCATTACAACTTATAGTTATGACGTTTCCAGGAAAAAAAATCCACTTGTTGCTGAACCTGACCCTTCATTCTTAAATATTACTATGACAAATCATCTAGATAAGCTTACTTGCAAAAAATATATATATATTTTTTTATCAGTGTTAAGTACCGTATTTTCTGCACTAAAAGGCGCACCGAAAAGTCTTCCATTTTCTTAAAAGCTCACAGCGCCTTAAAATCCGGTGCGCTTTGTGTTGTATGGTCATTATGGTAATATGTCGACCTCAAGATGGCTCCTTGCTGGAGACATGCTTCCAATGTTATAACTTGCTGTTGGTTCAGTGACCTGTCGCTGCTTTATTATTAAATAAGTTTTTGTTGCAGCTCCGAAAAAAGGAGAGCTGTGGTGTTTTTTTTCTAAAACGCCCACTTTATTAATGCTTTTCACAGTCTCAACAAATACAGGTAATGTATATATTTGTCCGTCTCCGTGCCTTTTCTTCCGTTCCACTCGAGATGCGTTCATGACCGCCTCCGAAAAACGTAAATTAACGATTCCTTCAATGAAACTACGAAAATTGAAAATAATGCATCAAAAGAGAAAATCAAGCCAGGAAATCACAAAATAAATTCTATAGCCCCCCTACAGAATTTATTTTGTGATTTCCTCGTTTGTGAATACACATCAAAGGCATAAATAAACACTTCTGAGACAGTCCAGTCTCCTACATTTTACTGACATCTGATCATTCTGTTGGAGCTACGCTCAAGGAAATGCCAATGAGTTGAGAGTCAAAACTATTTGACATGTGAAATGATGTTAGTTGTGTGTGTATCGGTGTATACCTATATTTGTGTACACAGACATTGTGCAGTTTTTGGTGTCGCTGAGCTTTCCGCACACGCCGCCTGTCAAATCAACCTCTGGACACGTCAGGTGTGCGCAAACATCTCCGAAGAAGGCAAATGCTGAGCATTGAAATTGTACAAGGTCAGACGAAAGAAGTCGTGGTGGCGAGAGGTAAAATAACAAGGCCAGACTGTCGCCAAACACTACTGTATTTTCTTTCCCGGCTATTAACAGTCGAACACCAGTTGGTACAATTCAATTTCCTTCCTTTTCCATCTTAGCAGTATTTTATTTTGTAGCAACACTGCCACCTAGTGTACAGTCAGAAAATGACAGAAGTAATCTACGTTTTTGAGACTTACACTTAAATCAGGCGAGTTTAATGTAATAAAGTAAAAGTAGGTTCTTCTGAACCAAAATAAGTTCCATAGTAAAAATAAGTAATTTGCATTAAAAGTACTTTGACCAGCACAATTCTGTCCCAAAAATGACGTCCTGATGTAAATGTACTTTCCCAGTGGTGCCACAGGGGGGCAGTGTCGGTGCAAAAATGAAGCAAGCGGAAGCGCCGTTGAGTCAACTCGTGTTTTATTTTTCTCTCCTGATTCTAAACGTGACCCGGACCGCCGGCTGCGGTCTCCTCAGGTGCGTTGAGATGGACGGGAAGACGTTACAGTCATGCGAGCCACGACGGGCGGGAATGTCAAACGTGTACAAGTCCAAATGTCTATATACAATTTTCTTACAAGAGAATCATGGCTTCCAGTCGTTTCCTCGAATAGAAAAGAAAGGACACTTTTTACTGGGAGTTAGTGGATTTCAAATTAATATTAAGGCCACACTGAAGGAAGGAAGGAAGGGAGGAAAAAAAATGCAGTTACAGTTTAGTACCAATGGTATGATGAAGACAAGGAGAAGATTAAACAGGTCTTTTTTTTTAAGCATTTTTGTCATCTAAATATCGCTGAAGAAAAAACAGACAGACAGATTTCTTGATAAAACATAGCTTTTTTGCTAAATAATTTTTTAAAATCCCATTCACCTGAGGCCTGAAAAAACAAAATTGTTTTACAACTTTCTCAGGTGGGAAAAATTCTCGGAAAATATAATTTTTGTTGTTTGTTTGAATTCTAGAAAACCTTTCTCGAAGTTCCCCCTCAAGTACAATGTAAAAAAAAAGTTTGCAAATGGTTTTGTTGTTCAGTGTGGCCCTAATACACAGAGGACATGTTTGATTCTTTAAGTGAAAACGTAATCGTCACAGTTACCGTCGCGCGCTCTTGCTTCTGACATCAGGAAGTTCTTTTTTTTTTTTTTTTTTTTTTTTTTTTTTTTTTTTGTAGGAGTAATACTTTTTTTTTTTTTTAAAGGAGGGTTGGGGTACGGCTAACAGGTCAAGACTGCACGTTGTCCGAACCGTAAAAAGTTGTGGAAAAACATGCACGGTGTCTACCGTCTTGTTGCAAAGCGAGACGCTTTCCGCTTCCACGCGACGCCGACCTGAGAGAGTGATTGTCGAGCATGCACACAGCATCCAAACAGGCTCGTTTCATTGTTTCAAAACTCCAAGAAGAAAAAAAAAAAAAAATTAAAATCGGCTTGATATCCCTCGAGAGAACTCATCGACACCGGATAAAGAAAGATTATTCACAATGCAACCAAACGTCGCCTCCGCCCTTTAAAAGTCTGATCACATGGCAGCACTAAAAATCGCACCTACGTTATTAGCGCAACGCTCAAAAAGGAGGGGGGGGGGTACTACGAGAATAAAGTCAGAACGCTCGATTTGATTTTCTTTCTAGAATAACTACAGGATAGTTATAAGGGGGAATGTTTAAAAAATGGTTGTGACTTTGGTGGATTCTAAATTACACGTGGGAGGGGTTCCCATTATAGCTAAAATTATAATTACCAAATTTTACTGATGTACTGTTCAACTTTGATTTGCTTTTCTCTTTTATTAAGCTGAAGAAAAGAAACTCGTATTCTCCCTCCCCCAAGATGATTTGTTTTCCCCAAAAAGTTATTTTTAGAAAGAGATAATTGTAATATTTTGGGGCAATAGTTGTTAGAGCCAACTTCATTCTTGGAATGCTCCGATTTTCTTGATGCTAAAAATATACAATTTCACCGCACTATTCTTTTTTTGGAATTTTCCAACTTTATCCACGCATTATTATATATTTTTTTCCATTTGAGCATGGCCTTAATATGTATTGGTGAAACCAAAAACCAAAGTAAAATGGAAACAATGAAATGTTCCTATTTTTTTTGTTTTGTTTTTTTTTAATACAGAATATACACAATCTGGAGACGTGAATGAGCCCAAAATGTGCTAAGTCACAGTGCATCCACACGACTTAACACGAACAACCATTTAGATTTTTTTTTACTCACTAGTGACGGGAGGAGAGGGGGGGCACCGCTTTGTGAATGATTCGTGAACAACGATAAGAAATAACACTTCAGCGTTAGGCTACACTTAAATCGTATCATATGACTTATCGTAATGTTTTGTATTGCGTGAACGCTAGCAAGAAACCCGATACGCTCAAACCTCATTGTACTCGGAACGCGATACCCAGGACAGGAGTGAGAGGGGGGAGTGCTCATTTCCAAAAATAATGAAGATTTCGGCCACCCTTAGCGGCAACTGTGCTTGAAACCACGTCGCGTTGGCACCTTCCGTCTCCCGGCCCCCCAAAAATAGTCAACATCGTGGCAAAGGTCAAAACTAGCGCGCGCTAGCTTATCCAGGTACTGGCGGTGTGATGGGTATTCCAGTTGGTTCCAGGGTGGTGGACGTCGCGCACAGCCGCCCCCCCCTGCTGGCGGGGAAGCGCTACAGCGGCCCCTTGAACTGGTTGCCTGACAGGTGCTGGCGGATGGAAAGCTTCGAGCCGGCTGCATCGCCAAGCTTCCTCCACACCACCTGCACAAGCGGCAAACAAGTGCGGGACTTTTTGTCAGAGCGTAATTTGGACCCAAAAAAACCCCTGAAAAACGTTTTCCTACAATTCAAGCGCACAACATAGCTCGAGGGACATAATAAACCACTATAACTATTTCCAACAAAATGGCCGCTCACATTTCATAGATGCTCCTACCCTTGTGAAGTTAAGCGCAATGGATGGATGGTAGATGAAAAAAAAATTGGATTGAATGTCATATCGTGTGGAATCCTGCTTTTTAACGCATGTTAATTGGTCTTTTGCCTCATTTTATGTGCGTACATATTTGGTCACGACTGCTCCCTGAGTTTGTTGTGTCACTGTACAATATGTTTGTGTTACCCATTTGTTGAAATGTGATTTTTATGGGTGTAAAGCAGGGGTGAGCAATTCCAGTCCTGGAGGGCCGACGTCCCGCCATCTCTCCCTGTTGCGACACATCCGATTCAAATGATTGCGTTCAAGATCAGGCTTCCGCAGAGCTTGCTGATGAGCCCATCACTTGAATCAGGTGTGTTGCGACAGGGAGAGATGGGAAACCGTGAAGGATAGCGGGCCCTCCAGGACCGGAATGACTGGACTTGCCCACCGCTGCTTTCAACTCATAAAAAACGGAAGTGTTGTTGTCAATGCTGAGAGGGAGTGAAAAAGAGAGCGAGAAAGCCGCCGTCTTCTCATTAGTGGAATGACCTGATTTGGTGAATAAAAAAGTGACCATGGGAGACAGTGCCTCTTCTTTGTTTTTGCCAAACTTTTTTCATTGCAGCCCAGAATAGCAAATGCAATACTTAGAACACAGTTAGCAAGAACAAAACAACAAGGGCCTCTGTGTGTGTGTGTGTGTCTGTGTGAGAGAGAGAGAGATGTTGCCGTGCTTACGCTATTCTCAAATTGGAATTTTGTTTTTTATAATTGAGAAGTTGATGCTTCGTTGCAAGGATAGTTGGTTTTTCTCAAAAGTGCAAATGTTTATTCTGGAAAAATACAACTCTGTACCAATATTATACCAACACACTTTGATTCTCTCCTCTTTCATCTCAAATTGCTTGAAAGCGTCCGTGTTTTATGTGATGTGTTGTGTTCATTATTTTACATTATGTGAACTGTTTTGTTAAGCGCTTTGTTACAGCTGTAGCTGTTGTGAAAGTGCTTTTTAAATCAGGATGTATTCTATATTGTAATATGTGGACGTTTCAGAAATGTTGTAACATCTTACGTACGTTGCACATCTCCCTGACGATGGCCTTCTCTTTCTCACTGAGGTCATCCTCGTAATCTTCGGGAACTTGCTTGTCCAAGTTCTCGTGGACCTCCAGAACCTGCAGGGGGGGGGGGGGGGGGGGGGGGGCCCAGTTTGTAGAGCGGCCAAACAAAACTCAAGAGCGACGGACACCACGCCGCCCCTTCGCTCACCTTCATGGCATGCACCACGGCCTCGGGCTTCTGCACGCATAAGTATCCCGTGGCCGGAGACGATTCGCTGGTAGGGAGGCGGCCCGAAACCTGGACGTGAAAGCCGACTTTAGCATGAGCGTACATGGCGGTCAGCGATGGCTTGAACCAATCACATCTCACTTTTGTCACCAGTCTGCTGGGTGTGTGTGTGTGTGTGTGTGTGTGTGTGTGTGTGTGTGTGTGTGTGTGTGTGTGTGAGATCTGACCACATTGTGCATGGCATCCTGGCGTTGAGGCAGGGAGGACAGCTGCGACTCTGAGTGGTACAGGGTCGTCCCTTTCCGCAGGGCTCGCAAATCACCTGGATGACACTGAGCACACGGTGTTTGAGGTTGGTCAATGCGAATACATAAATACAAATGAGTCCATCAAAAGAAGTGCATTCGGTTTGAACCCGCAGCCGCAGAAGACAAAGAAAAACAGCCAGAGCAGAACCAAATTTAAGCATTTCCAGGAAAAAAAAAAGTGTTGAAAAGGGGGCAAAAAGGACCAGGTGAGTGAGGTGTTTTATATATATAGTGTTTGATTATTTTATTAAGAGAACTATGTTGTGTGAGGCATGAAAAAAGACCATACATAGTAATGTGTTTCTACAACAAAAACACCATGAATAGTATTTTGCAGAGTAATTAAAAAGTTCATGGATAGGAAGGCATTAAAAAAAAAAGACCATATTTAGTAAGCCTTGTATACTAAGTCTATGTAGATGAAGCCGAAAAAAACGACCCTGTGTATATATAGTAGGTGTTTTTAGCTGAAAAAAAACTACCAAGTATAGGAAGGGGTTTTTAGCTCCAAAAAAACAACCATGTTTAGGAAGGCGTTTTTAGCCCCAAAAATACGACGATATATATAGTAAACCATTATTAACCGAAAAAACCCCACCATGTATAGCAAGGCATTTTTGCCCAAAAAACAACCATTTATAGTAAGGCGTATTTAGCCGAAAAAAACGACCATGTATAGTAAGGCGTTTTGAGCCCAAAAATAACGACATAGTATAGTCAGACGTTTTTAGCCTAAAAAAAAATGACCGAAAAAAACAACCATGTATAGAAAGGTGTTTTTAGCCGAAAAAAACGACCATGTATAGTAAGGCATTTTTATCCGAAAAATAACGACATAGTACAGTAAGGCGTTTTTATCCCGAAAAAAACAACATAGCAAGGCGTTTTTAGCCGAAAAAAACGACCATGTATCGTAAGGCGTATTTAGCCGAAAAAAAACGACATAGTATACGTTTTTAGCCTGAAAAAAACAACATAGCAAGGCGTTTTGAGCCCGAAAAAAACGTCATAGTATAGCAAGGCGTTTTTAGCGTAAAAAAATGACCGAAAAAAACGACCATGTATAGTAAGGTGTTTTTAGCCGAAAAAAACGACATAGTTTAGGAAGGCGTTTTGAGCCCGAAAAAAACGACCATGTATAGTAAGAGGTTTTTCGCCCGAAAAAAACGACATAGTATAGTAAGGCGTTTTTAGCCGGAAAAAACGACCAGGTATAGTAAGGTGTTTTTATCCCGAAAAAAACGACATCGTATAGTAAGGCGTTTTTAGCCAGAAAAAAACGTCATAGTATAGTAAGATGTTTTTAGCCTAAAAAAATGACCGAAAAAAACGACCATGTATGGTAAGGCGTTATTAGCCAAAAAAAAAGACATAGTATAGTAAGGCGTTTTTATCCCGAAAAAAACGACATCGTATAGTAAGGCGTTTTTAGCCAGAAAAAAACGTCATAGTATAGTAAGATGTTTTTAGCCTAAAAAAATGACCGAAAAAAACAACCATGTATAGAAAGGTGTTTTTTGCCGAAAAAAACGACCATGTATAGTAAGGCGTTTTTAGCCCGAAAAAAAACGACCATGTATAGTAAGAGGTTTTTCGCCCGAAAATAACAACATAGTATATAGTAAGGCGTTTTAATCCCGAAAAAAACGACTATGTATAGGAAGCCGTTTTTAGCAGAAAAAAACAACATCGTATAGTAAGGCGTTTTTAGCCGAAAAAAACGACATAGTATAGTAAGGCGTTTTTAGCCCGAAAAAAAACGACCATGTATAGTAAGGCGTTTTTAGCCCGAAAAAAAACGACCATGTATAGTAAGGCGTTTTTAGCCCGAAAAAAAACGACCATGTATAGTAAGGCGTTTTTAGCCCGAAAAAAAACGACCATGTATAGTAAGGCGTTTTTAGCCCGAAAAAAAACGACCATGTATAGTAAGGCGTTTTTCGCCCGAAAAAAACGACATAGTATCGTAAGGCGTTTTTAGCCGAAAAAAACGACATAGTATAGTAAGGCGTTTTGAGCTTGAAAAAAAAACGACATAGTATAGTAAGGCGTTTTTAGCCGAAAAAAACGACCATGTATCACAAGGCATTTTTAGCCGAAAAAAACGAACATGTTCAGAAAGCCGTTTTTAGCGAGAAAAAAACGACATAGTAT